ATTTGGTGGCTGTCATAATTTTTAGTATAGTAGTTGTGACTTATTCACACTATATACATTTGGATTCCGCAACAGATAGGAAAGGTGTTTGGGATGTGGGAAAATGTTTTTCGTCGAAAATATTTTTCTAAAAAAGAAAATTTTCTTAGGTATTTGGTAAGTAAGCAGAAAATATTATAAGAGCAGCTATATATCGTCTACGCAAACAATATAAGAATGAGAGCATAGATGGATCAGTGTGGACGTGGGTTAGGATTCGATGTGGGAGCAGATATATTCATCGAAAATATTTTTCTAGAAAAGAAAAATCATTACCAAGACTGTTAATTCCATGAAGCCGAGTACTTATAAATAGGAAGTTCCTTCCATTACCTTTAACACTACTATTCTTATCCCACATTGTTCCCTCGTCCCCAGTTAGTATTTTCCATTGACTACCTACAAATTTTTTGGTCTAACATAAGGGGAAAAGTAAACGCTGAAACCTAGTAAACATTACATGAAATCTGTTCAATTATGCAGATATCTCATATCAAAAGTACCCAACCAAAAGCTACTGGAGTATAAACAGTTACCACTAGAAAAGAAAATAGTTCCTTGAGAGCGGAACAGTAGTAGCTGGCGTGCATGTGAGGACTGTTCCATCAGCGGTCACCGTGTATGTCTCCGGATCGACTTTGATGTCAGGAAGTGCATCGTTGAGCTTCATGTCTAGTTTACATATGTTTCTCACATTACTTACAGCTTCCACCTTCTTATTTAGTCCATATGAGTGTTTTATTCCAGCATCCAGAGCTGCCTGTTTATCCAATGCAATAGACAGAGTTGTGTTAGTACACATGTTATAGAGATTCCGTTATTCTTCAGTGCATATTCGTATGTGTAGCGGCAGAGCTTCTAGCAAAAGAACATCCTTCAAGTTTTGACGGTCCTAACGTCAACTCCTAAATTTAACTTCTACCCCCCGGCAGTATATAGCTATTTTGCACCATTAGGTTACATTACCTACAACAATAGCTGTCCATCCTTAGCTAATCTACTATGGTAATAACTCAGAAAATAGAGTAATAAACCTCTTGTAACAGGTTAAAATACACTTTGTGTATACAATCTTTACATTGCCAGTAAATCTCCACTCCTAAACATATGAGAAAATGGCCATACACTTTTGGGCTGAGAGAGAGAGAGAGAGACATGCCTTGCTGACAAAAGCAATTGAATTAGTACTTGCAGCCTTGGAAAATGCTCCAAACATAGGCCTCATTAACACCTGTAACAACTTGTGCTTCAGTAATGAAAATGCAGATAACAGCTCTGCTTTCAACGGGATAACAAAACCGAATAAGGGTCTAAAGGTGGAGGCTAGTAGTAAAACGTAAGCAATAATTCAAGATTCGCTTATGAAAGCCAAAAAAGAAATACACTATGAAGTTATTTAAGAAACATTAGTCCAATGTTGGATCTCTTGCATGCAAGAACGTAGATTCAAAAGTTGGTTAATAGCAAAAAATGCGAATAAAAGAGTCCTCCAATGTAAAAGAGTTACCGGTTCAGGAGTTGGGATGCTAGCATTCGGGTCTCCCATGTTTGACCAAGCTATTACCCCTCCTTTGATCACCATTTCTGGTTTCGTCCCAAAAAACGATGGTTTCCACACCACAAGATCAGCTAATTTCCCTACCTGCAAGATATCCAAAAAAATAAAACTGGAATCTATGACAATGAGATTTGAAGTGCTCAACTTTTCAGAGGATAATGCCTTCAGCACTATGATGACAAAGGAGAGAATAACTACCTTTCAAGATTCTAATAGCTTTATAACAATGCAAATTTCTACGAAATTAGTT